ACTTCTGCGGGTCAGCATCTGTCGCCATTACGGCACTACGCTCGTCGACGGCCGGTCAGCGAGCCGGAGGAACAGTAAACAACAAACCGCGTGTGACAGATTAGCGGCGCAGGCTAAAGGACCTTCCACTGACACATCATTTCTCTCACTCCGCGAGTTTGTTTCGCGGCAGCTGTCACCAATAAAACAGAGAGACAGGAGAGAAGGGGGGAGAGATGGGGGAGGTTGGCTTTTGTTCCAGATCCAGGGAGGTGGGTGGCAGGAGAGGAAGGAGAGTGACCTGTTTAGCAGTCTGGCATGAGCATGAACGGGAATATTCATACAGGAAAACGAGGCACCATTATGTCAAAAGGAAATTTTTTGCTGACTTTCTCATAATGATCTACTTTCTTTTTTTAGGGGTTGTAACAAATTGCTACAAGTTCCATTTGTGCACAGCGTGTGTGGTATAATGTATAAAAGAAGTGAGCTTGAGCATTTGCTCTGGTTATGTGAACTTGCTGAAGCCTCATCTTGCACTGCTCCACCTGGCCACGTTTTATCCATTAAAACATAGAAAATCGTACAGCAAGCCACAATTTGTGCCAAGTGGACTGATTCGCCCCACTGCAGTCCACTCTCTTTTCCGGCCTTGATCCACATTCTCTCCATTAGCCTCATTGATGGATTCTGGCAAGGAAACTTTTCCTTGAGCTCCCATTTGAAGGACATTCTGTTGTCCTGCTGGGCGTGTAATACCACCCTCAAACCACAACGGACCATAGATCATCATCACCTTGATTCAGAATAGAGAAGCTTGTTTATTGAACTTTAGAGTCACCTGTTGATCAGACCACACCTTCTAAAAGTGCTCCACAAAGATCTGTTGGGCACCACCAATCCTCCATTTAAAAAAATGGGAGTCTGGACCTAGTTCCAAACATCTATTCTAATTACACTTTATATATTTTAGCAGATGTAACCAATGGAAAATGCATCAACAAAACTTGTCAAGGACACTCTCCAGGCCTGAATTTTCACAGCTGCAACTATTTGGCTTTGCTCATTGGCGGGTTCACACAGGCCGCTCCAAGTGCTGTCCAATCACCAAACCCATCCATTACTTTGTCCGGCTGTGGGCAGAGCCCGGTGAGGACCTGTCCTCTTTAATATCTAACAGCAGAGTGGTGGCTCTCTGTGCCAGCCTCCAGAGTCCCACTGTTCCCACAAGTGCCATATGGGCGGCCCGGCCTTATTGCATTAGCACAGGCGAGACAAGCAGGCAGAGGCCCTGGTCCTCCAGGCACTGCCACAGGGCATGCCCTGCCCACAACCAGCTGCCAGGACCAGGCAGAGAGACAGTCACAGTTCACTATCCGACAGAGGAATAGTCAGGAACCCTTTACAACTTTGCTCTTTTCTTGGACTGTTTCCTGAGGACAGAAAAAACGGTGTTATAGATGTCGACATAAAGGATACAAACATTTACGTGTATTCATTTTCTTTTATCCAAAGGAAAGAAATGAGGAGAGAAGTGCTGATATACAAAGTTCCAAAACTGCTAGAACAGAGTTTCACATTGGGGTAAAACAATATACAATACAAAACAGTATAAATGGCATTATAGAGCAGCACCCGTAAATAACATTATTTCTGCATAGCAGCCAGGGATGCTACTACACAAAAGAGCGAAGGAGAGGTCAATAAATTACATAATTTGTTCATAAGTCAATGTGTCCTGTTCGCTATAAATAGGCCCTTGATTGTACTATATACAGCGCCTCCCCACACCGGCAAGTCTTAGAAAGAAAAAAAAAACAAGCACTTACAGTCCCCAAAGTAAAGATTGCTTGCCACTGGAGATATCTGAACAGGTCTTCCACCTGGTCTAGGGACAGAAGAAGGGAGAGAGTTCAGATGTTCAGATGTTCTGAGGATCGCATGGGAATGTCAGACTGTGTTTCAGCCTGTACCTGCCACAGGACCTGAGGCCTGTTTTAATTAATCATAAAGCACTATGAATTATTAATATATTATCACTGCGCATACATGTGATCATTCATTTGTCTCTTTTGCTGTTTTTTAACACCCTTAAGTGCCTGTTTCTGTTAATATGCGGCAATTCTGGGGAGAACTAAAGCTTGACCTGACAGCACACTTTAATACAGGACAAGATGCAGTACAAAACTACTTAGATGTTCTTATTTCACAAACTCTCCAGTGAGAGCGTATACAAACACAACAAACAGGTCAACTGATAGATGCTCTAAGGAGTGAACGGCGGTGTTGGAAGTATGTGAAGCGAAGAGATTCCCAATAAACCCAAATATTACATTTGAAAACATTTACATTTGCACATTTGCAATGATAAGAAATCCCGCATAGTACTCCCAGAAAATTTGCGATCTCGAAAAGTTTGCAACGCTCAATGACATATTTAAGCAAGGACTCTTCAAGCAGCGCCCGGGGTGTTTTTGTGCCACACTGATCAGACATCATTGAGCTCTCATTGAGGAGAGATTTGGTTTTGGCCTGGCTGTGTGGCCTGTGATGATTGACAGTAGGAAGGAAGCTTTCTCCTACCCACAGGCGCCCCATCGAAGCTTCAGCTCAGGAGGACACAACAGATCTGAGCGAGAGCAACACCTGTCAGGTAAGCCTTCGCAGTTGACGGCACATGAGGTATGCAAAACCCTCTGCTCTGACGGCTAATCTCCGGTGAGCCATCGTGCGGGGCACCGCAGGCCTCCACAAGGAGCCACCGGGGGCCAGAGCGCAGTAAACTTGCCTCTTCTGCATCAGACAGCGCTCATATCCTCCCACAAGAGCAGCAAGAGGCAGAGGAAAAGAGAGAGAGGGAGGCACTGATGTGCTCTAAATACATTTCATTATCATCATTATGATTATATCACTGAATGTGTGTTTTTTGTAATGCGCCGCAGCACGTCTCCCCAGGGTGCTGTCTGCACAGCTGAATAATTAAAACAAGTATGATGAACCATCCGTCACAGTTTCCCACAAGAGTTCAGGCAGGATGTGTGCAAATGGCTCAGTTGAGGAGAGGTCTGCAATTGAAACAATAAAAATGCTCAGGTTAGAATCTACTAATGCAGCTCTGATTGCAAATAATTTAGTACAAGCAGTAAAACAAAACGATGATGCAAGCACACTATTGCACTGTATACTAACTCAGTGATAATACATCGATCATTGTTTTAATTTCAGAAAAAATAAGGAAAGCATTGCACTGAAAAATGTTGTTTTCATTATAAAATTATTATTATTAATCATCAGTTCCTCAATGTGCATACTAAAACAATGATGTTTCCTAAATTAACAAATACTGTCATTAATTTAATACAAATCATATTTGTTAGCTGTAATCATATTACAGCAACTTACCAAGTGCATTTTGGAGAAAGCAAATCTCACACTGTTTGCAAAGACAAAACAGCACATCCAATCAGCCAGGAACAAACAAGATGAGGCACATTGTGTTCTGATATGCCAAGCAACCCTGTAGGACTAGACCTGCTTAAATGCATAAAGTAAATCTAAGAGACAAGTACGGATGAATGTTTAATCCAACAATCCCACAAACCGGTGTCAAAACCCCTGTGTCAAAACCCAGAAAATTATGCACAGCAGGTCACTGAAATATTCATACTATACATGCTTCATTAAGACTGAAATACACAAAGGCCCCGCATTCAAATTATTATTGAAACAAATGACAGATAGATGGAGGGAAGAGTAAAATATTACTGCCACAATTACATGTTTGTTTCATAGATTTGTACCGATTTGTTTTATTACAGGGGAAACCTCCACATTGCTAAATACTTTTGACAACTGAGTTACTTTGCGTCTTGTGAGTGGAGTCTCTGCCAAAGACTGCATTCAGATAGGAAAGAGGACACACTGCTCCTTTTCAACCTTTTCAGGTGGGAATACTAGACAGATCAAAGCGTGTCTGTTAATTACACATATCCTGCAACTTGGTCACGCAGTTAGGGCTCCTGACCGTTCTCATATGCTCCCAACCAATTAATGATCTTTCTCCTGCCCCTCTGACATCAGATGAATAGTGTCTGAGTTTTCAGCTGATGGATTATGTCAGTTTATCAAATGACAAATGCTTTACAATTTAGATTAATATCTGTAATTTAAACACTTAGCACAGCTGAGACTGGCTCACTGCCCAATATTAAGAACATTAAAAATCATTAAGGGGATGATATATTGTGTTTACAGGTATACAATATATTATTCAAAAACAGGTTCGCTGTGTTACCACATTTTGTTTTAACACCTGTACCTGTAACTGAAATAATATTCTCAAATTTATCTACTATAAATTATTGAATCTTACAACGATCACATCATTTCATATCATTATTATCACCCATCACCACTACCCTCCCTCATTTCATTTTAAGCTTCATTTTAATAAAAAAAAAAGGTAAACATGTTGTGGCAATGTGGTAACATACAGGATATTTTAATTATAAAGCAACTAAAATTGGATACAAGATTATATACATAAAACATGGTCCAACAACTCTAAAACAATGTGAGATTTGCCATTGGCTGTGGCAAATGTAGGCCATTTTGTGCTATCTTTGTTGGTCCGGCAGACACACAAAGTGAAAAAGTATAACCCTCCTTGTTTGATTTCTTTCTAGATATTTAAAAAAAAAAAAAAAAAAAATTAAATCATGTAGATTAAAAAGCTTGTGTGGATGTTATCAAATTGAAACAACAAAAACTAATGGTGTTACAACTCCTCAGTCAATACTGCATCTTCCATAGACTGTAAGATACGGACTGACACTTATTGGGGCCTTCAGAATATATGAAATATGAAATGTAGTTAAAACGAATAATAATAATAATATAGTGTGATATAATAATAACAACATAGTGTATATATAATATATAGTTATTTATTATTATATAAACAAACAACCAACCACCAATTGTTTCCAGAGTGACTATTGTCAATCTGGCAACCCAGTCCATGCCGCGCTGGTGAAATCCCTCCTCCTCCGGCACCGTAACTTCCTGGAGACGGGCTTTATTTTTATACAGAAAAATGGCGGCTTTAGGCTCAGATAGTAACTCCGAGAAAGCAGACACCGCGTCTGAAGCCCAGTCGGGACGGGACAATGATTTTTGGGCTGGACAGGGTCCTGTGGTGCTGCGCGATCCAGCGATTAAACTGCTGAGTCCAGTTAGCGGTCTGGAGCCCCTGTCGTGGGCAGAGGATCACAGACTGGCGGCCTCCAGCACTAACAGCGTGTCTCTCGTGGAGCTGGTGTGTGACATACACAGTCTCAGTCAAAATCTGGTGCTGCATCGCACTCACATCCCCGTTCCGGACACCGCCTGCGAGCTCAAGGTAACTACTGTGGTGCGCGCGTTCTCGTTGCTTTATGGTACCAACTCGTGTGCACTGTTGCAACCATGTTGCCAAGCCTAAACCATGTTTTGACGTGACTTGACATCTCAAAATGTGCAAAATAAGCGTTAATCATCTGTGAGGAATAATCCTATTTAATCCCTAATTTTCCCAGCACAAACTGCATGCCTTTCTATGTCAAAATATGTTGTGCAACACTGTATTTTACTCATAACAACTGGGGAAATAAACAACATATTCAAACATTCAGGTGCATAATTGATTTTTCCCCCACAGTCAATTGTGGGGAGTGATAATCCAAGAAATTTTTATTTTTTTATTTTTACGTTTACTTTAATTGAATGTAACATTATATTTAAAACATCACATATTTTATCATGTGAATCAATCAATCAGTGTTTTTTTTAAGCCTGTTTATATTTATGCCTGACATATTTATGTGTTCAGTGATCATGATCTATGATCTTAGCGATCCTAATTAATAATAGACTTTTTAAATTTTATATGTACTAAAATATGATAGTGGAATCTGTATTATGACATGTATTTTAAATGCTTCTTTTTATGGAGCTTTGAAACAGACATCATCTTTCAGAGAGGCAAAAACAGCTCTGGTCATGTGACTTTATACCAGACATGTAGAAATGTTCACACGACGTGTAGACAGTCTGCGTTTTTCATTCATAGTTGACCATTCTGTGTAAATACATCAACAAATCCCAGTAAATTTTATTAACCCCAGTTTGTTTACAAATGTTACTGGTTGGATTATCCCACCAAAAACATTTGTGACCAAAATGTACTAAAAAGAGTTGATGTGTTTTACACACTGTTTTGACCTATAAATGAAAATGAGACTTGATTTCATGATGTGACCATTTTTACTAATCACATGAACAGATTGTAATCCCTCCATGACTTTATAAAGACTCTATAAAATGATGTTTTCAAACTTATTTCTATGTGTTGAAATATCTGTTATTCACAATTCCTTTAATGTCTTCTTTATATTTTGTTACAGGTGGGCCCAGAAAAGGAGGTGCAGACTGTTAAAGAAAACTTTGCAAAGAGTAAAGATCCAGTTGTAGGCCAAATGATAATGACAGACCGAGTCATCCATCCTCAATGTGGACGCCTCCATGGCGTGAAGTACACCAGCTGGTCACCATTAGGCTGCGACAAATACGGCCGCTGTCTTCTTGCTTTCTTAACACTGGACAATCGTCTCACAATCCACAGCAGTCATTTGCGTTTGCAGTGGATGCTTCTCATGGACCTTACAGAACTTTATGGGGAAATGTTAAAATCCAGGAACTACTCTGCTCAGAGCGACGGCTCACCCCCGAGCTCCATTAAAGACTTGGATGAACTGCAACGGCGGTATAGCATGCAGACGCCAATGCGCATGGAGTGGTCTGGTCTGTGCAATATGCAGCAAGTTCAGACCGATAATGCATGTAAAGATGTTAGCACTGTGCTTCTGGCTGTACTTATGGAGAATGGAGATGTGGTGGTGTGGCAGTTCAGCTTGCCCCTGCAGGGAAAGGATTCGGTGGTGTCTTGCAACACCATCAAATCTGGAGTGTCTTCGCCAAGCGTGCTCACCTGGTGGGAATATGAGCATAGTGGGCGGAAAATGAGCGGACTCATCGTCGGCAGCTCAGTTGGACCTGTAAAGATCCTTCCAGTCAACCTCAAGGCAGTGAAGGGTTACTTCACCCTCAGGCAACCTGTGGTTTTGTGGCAGGATAAGGACCAGATACCCGTCCACAACATCAAATGCATTACGCTCTTCCATCCGCACCAGAAATGCAACTGCAGCCTTGTGATTGCTGCACGAGGTCCTTATGTATTCTGGTGCTTGTTGCTCATCTCCAAAGCTGGTCTCAACGTTCACAACTCCCATGTCACAGGTCTTCATTCCACCTCTATCATATCCATGACAGTCAATCATAACAACGGGACCATTTTCACCTGCTCACTAGATGGTAAGGTAAAGAAGCTCAGGGCTGTTTTCACGGATGTTGCTGTCGAGTTTAAACAAGAAGAGATTGTTCTGCCAGAGGGAGTTGCAGGTCGACGGATACATGGCATATCCGTCAGTCCAAACGGTGCCTACTTGTCTCTCATCTCGAATGAGGGCATGATCAATGGGCTCCACCCCGTCAATCGCACCTACCAGGTGCAGTTTATCACCCTTAAGACTCCAGATGAAGCGGCCGCTGAGCTGCTCGAGTCTCAGATGCACAATCTCTTCAGAAAGACCGACTTGCTGGACTTGCTTCGATGGCGGATACTGAAGGACAAAAGCATCCCTTCGGTCCTCCAGAACAATCTAGACGAAAAGCTCCAAACCTCAGGGTCCACCTATTTATGGCGTTTGAAGCTTTTCCTCCTCAGAGCGCTCGACAAGTCCATGCAGAAAAGCCCTTCGGAGGCCCTGTGGCGGCCCACCCAAAGGGATAGTAAAGTGTTTGTTGTGGATGAGGATGCAGGTGGAGGTGATGAAGGCGAGATGGCGGAGATCTCTCCTTTAGAGGAGCTCAGGCAGGGGGATGCCGAAAGGCAGTCCAGTGAGGAACAAATGAGGGAAATCGGCAGCAGGATCGAAGAGGTGGAGTCCCAACTGATTCGTGAGAACATGAAGAAGGTGCTGGGCGAGGTATACCTGCACACCTGCGTCACTCAGAACACATGTATACCTACCAAAGGTGTGTGTGACTTCCTCACAAATGACCCTGCAAATGAAGACCGTGCGGCTAAGGTACGGATATAGTTGCTTTATGCACAAGCGGTCAAAAGTTTGGGACAATTAAGATTTTTAAATGTTTTTGAAAGAAGTCTCTTGTGCTTACCAAGGCTGCATACAGTAAAAACAGTAATATTGAGAAATATTATTACAATCTAAAATAAGTTTTCAATTTCAATACATTTTTAAATGTCTTTGCTTCAGTCTTCACTGTATTTTTGTACTGTACTATATCTCTGTATTTTTGACCAAATAAATTCAGCCCTGGTGAGCATAAAAGACTTCTTTCAAAAACATGAAAACATTTATTCTATTCAAAATTATTCCAAATTTTTGGAAGCATTTGCATTTAAGGTCGAAACTGGATGATCAAGGTGTAAAAATGTGGGCGTTATTGTGCTCGTTTTAATTGGTAAATAAAAATATTCGTGCAATGAATGAACTCTGTGCTTTTTCAAAAGACACCATAAAAGTATATTACCCTGTATGTCATTTTCTTTTCCTATTTGATGTGTGACCTTCACAGGTGCTGATAGGTCATATCATGAATAAAATGAACAAACAGACATTTCCAGAGCACTGCAGCCTCTGTAAAGAAGTTCTGCCTTTTACGGACTGCAAACGGGCAAAGTGTAAAAATGGGCACAGATGGCTAAGGTATGTAACCATAAATATGTTGTGATATGTATGTCATGTTATTATAAAATCCTTTTTACAGCTGGTTCCATAACACTTAAAGGAATAGTTCACTTAAAAATTACAATTCTGTCATCATTTACTCACCCTCAAGTTGTTTCAAACCTGTATGAATTTCTTTCTTCTGCTGAACACAAAGGAAGATATTTTGAAGAATGTTTATAACCAGACAGTTGATGGACCCCATTGACTTCCAAAGTGGGTAAAAAAAATACTATGGAAGTCAATGGGGTCCATCAACTGTTTGGTTTTCGACATTCTTCAAAATATCTTCTTTTGTGTTCAGCAGAACAACTTGAGGGTGAGTAAACTATTCCTTTAAGCTATATTTTGCAGTGCTAGGTAAAGTGACACTCTTCTCGGCTCAAGTCCGACAGATTGCACACTTTGATTAACAGATTAAGTTATGATAATTTGTGTAATTTTAGGTATTATTCATATTCTGCTCTTAATCCTTAAGAATACCAGAATGTAAAGCCCAAACAAGCCTAGAAGACTACAAATACTTTGTAGGTCTAGATTAACGTGCCATGAACAGACATAAAAAGGGTGGAAACTTCACCAGTGGTATGAATTGGACTATACAGTATGTAGTTGTTAAACAGGTTTCGAGTAGATTTGACCCACTTTCAAGCCCCTTGTGTGACATTTCATCCATTGGCATGACTGAAAGGGGATTACTGCCCCTAATGGCCTATCAGGGAAATAGTTGCTTCATTGCTGTCATTCTGATCTCTGCCAAGTACTGATCTAAACCTTCCCCTACCGTTTCTGTTCATGTGTCTTACTGTCTATTTCCCTCTTTCTTTCTTTCTTTCCTTCTGTCCTTCTTCCTCCCTAAGGTGTGCGCTGTCATATCAGGCCTGTCAGGGTGTGACATACCGCCGCTGTCTATTGCAGGACAGTATTGCCTCAGTAGCAGAGCCCGAGGGTGAGCCATAATGCTGTATCATATCTCCATTCAGAACCACATCGCACCACACACTTACACTTTTACTTGCACACACACAAAACAAGAACTCTGCTGCCCCACAGCAGTGCAAGCTTAGGATGTCAAATGTACTGGTACTCCGGTACCAAGTCGATACGAAATGAAATGTTAATAGTATGTCTTATTTTTTTTGCACTTGTACAATGTACCAACTCTACTCTACTGTGTATAATTATTTTGTATATATAAATACACACATATGCATTACATATAAATATTTTATATATAAAAAGCTAATTTTTCTTAAATATATACGTGCATATGTGTGTATATATACAAAATAATTATAAACAGTACACACACATATTATGTAAACACAAACTTTTATTTTGGATGCGATTAATTGTAGCCCAACACTAGTAAAAAGGCTAGACAAAAATGTGTCAAAATATTGGATTTATGCACTTGGCCTTGTAGTTTAATACTGATCAGATAACAATATTAAGAAAAAAATCTATTACTTTTTACTTGAGTAATTACTTGGGAAAAACGTTTACTCCGTTTAGAAATACTTTAATGCATTGTCAATATTTTAAACTTTTTTAAATGAATGTTGTTTTTTTCCATTGTTATTTATGTCTATTACTGACATTTTGCTAGCTTGACAAGTTGACAATCCTGTTGCATTATAACGTTTTCCAAATGCATCAAATTGCAGAACATGGAGAATATAGACAGGCAATTATGTAGAAAACCACCTTAATTTGGCGTACATGTAAATGATAATGCATAATAAGAGAAAACTTCTCGCCTTTTCAGATTCAGACTGGATCAAGAAAATACTCCAAGGTCCCTGCATCTTTTGTGACTCCCCTCTCTACTAAAGCAGTGAGGCTAAAGATAAAAAAAAAAAAAAAAAAACTGCTGAGTACTGGATTCCTTTCGTGGCCTACATCCCACATAAATGACTAAAATGCCTTTTATTACTTGAAAGAGAAAGTCTAAAAAGTAGTCACTAATTATTTTGTAATAAGACATTTTCATATTAACAGATCTTTATTTTAAAGCCAAGCTTTAGCTAAAAAGAGATGTGTAATTTTTCATTTTCATGAAAACTGTGACTATGTGTGTTAATAAATTATTCTATTGTATATATTTGCTGCATATTTTTAATTTGTTAATATTATGCTGCATTGACATCCTACTTTGGCATTAAAAATGCATGCTCTTCTTGTGGCTCTTCTGATTTTAATTGGTTTAAATAAATCCATTTCCTAATTGGCTTTGGGAACATTTCTATGTATCCGCAAACACCATCTCCAAATAATGACTTTTCCTTGGCCTGAAGGAAGAGAAGACGACTGTGCAAGGAAATGAAAAACAGGGAGACAGAGAGAAAACTGTTTCAAAACTGATCCAGCCCCTCCAAAGGGCCGAACTCTAATGAGATACAACAGTAATGAGGAATGGATCCCAGCCGCATATGTGATACCCATTTTAATTAAGATAGCGAGCTTGAGTGCATATTGTTAAATAAAGTTAGCCCCTTTTTTTTTGTGGGTCGCAGGGAAGACCCATCCAGGCCGTGCAACGTCCCATGTTGCTAACATATAGGGGTCAATGGTGATCAAAGATGGACTTGGGCTAGTTGGACCCTCAAAATGCTCTCCGCCATGTCCGTTCTTATCAACAGTACATCTTGTCGCCTTGCCCTGCGATCTCTCTAGTGTCACTGAAGATGATAGCTCGCCTCAGGGCTAGTCGGCAGCCCTGTCTTAGGTTTCGGATGGTATCCCGAGATAAAGATGGCCGGATAATTACACACAATTCCACTCCCCATCTCTCATTCGGTATCACTGAAAGCATTCAGTACTGTCAGAGGCCTTAAAAGTAAAGTAATCAGAGTGTTTATTTAGTTGTTCTAGGTTTTATTATTCATAGAGAGGGGCTCCTTCATTACGATGCGTTCTGAAATGTTGCCATATAATTACAATTGGTAATGCAACATGTAAGGGGTGTTTGATTATGAGGTAATAACGTGCATTATGTATTAATCAAAGAGCGACTAGAACACAAAGGCAGTGCTCAGAACCTCAAATGCCGTCTGCTGCATGTCACGGCAAATTTGTTCACTGACATATTGCGATAAGCATCTAATAACATGAATTTGAAAGCTGTTTTTAAATGATGTACTTGGAAAATGAAAAGATATTTGGATTTCAATTGTACACATAATATACAGCGCATATTGCATATTAATAGTCGCAGGTGCTAAATGTCACAGATTAGATTATAACTGCAAACGTGATTGAAATTCCAATCCCCCCGCCGTGTATTTTCTTTCCTGGATATTAGATTGTCAAATGGATCTTGGCCTTTTGGTTTGAGTGCTAGCTTTGTTGATAGGTGGAGACTTCTCCTGTTGAAGAGGTTAGCTCTGTTTGGCAGAACCTCCTACTTCTTTAATATAACGATCTGTCAAAAAACATTTCGACAATAATTACGGCCCCCTCCTCTTTCCTCTTTGTGTGTGCTCTGTCAAGACTTCAAAAGGAGGTTTCGTTCTTTTCTCTGTATGAAATATTCATAACTTCTGTGTTCGTGGCTTTGTGCTTTAAACAGATAACAGACAGATTTTTTATATTATTTAATCTCATTTCCTTTTGTTTGTTAACATATTTTGATATACATCACCTTTCGTTAAACGCCTAATTTGTTGAGCCCAAACAAAACGCTAAAAGTCATTCGCTCTTGCACTGAAGCTTTTCTTTTTGTGCTACAATTTTTTCAGTTTTATTTATGGACCTTTTTGCGCTTGAAGTTATTCTTGGTTTTACAACCAAAAAGTATGTGTAAATTTGATTTGTTACAAAAGTCACTCTGTATTTAATGTACAGTATTCCAGAGCTCTTCGTGTACATGGTTATAATGAACTAGATTTTTCCTTGTTTCTCTTTCATGTGTACATATCTATAAATAAACTTTTGAAATACATTTGAGTTTTTTCTACATTTTTCAGCATATCTGATAATTAGATGTTATCTGTTCAACTATCTATAAGTGTGAATGTTTCATAACAACACTGTACCACAATATAATTGCACTAATGTATTTTTTCATTCTGACCTTTTTATACATCACTTATATTTATTTAGAAAATAATATATTTGCAATTATGCATAAATAACTATTGTGATCTATATTTATCCATTTTTTTATTTTAATTTTTTACACTTTATGGTTTTAGTAACAAACGTGAAAATCACTCAGATTGAGTTTGTATGAGTTACAAGTGAATAAATGCATGCTGAATTACTTAAATTTTTTCTCCCAAAAAAAGGCAAAGCAAAAATAGACCATTAGAACATAATTTATGAAAAACGGGGTTAAATGTTTAAAATAATGTATATATAGGTCTGACTATAGGCCCAAAAATAATTTGTGTTCATTTGTATTCCTCTTAGCAATGTTTTCTGACACCAAAAATAAGTTTCACAATATAATCTGCATGAAAATATGCATATACGTACATGTATATGTATGTGTGATTATGAGTCATACTGGGGGAAAAGAAAATAGCTTCTAAAGCAGTAGATTTTCTGATGTGGCTTCACCTCCGTAGTGTATATACATCAATTTTCCCATCTGAATATATTTCGTCTCAAGTATGCTTTGTAGAAGTGTTCCCTCAGACTTCAGTAATTCATCAGTAATTAAGTCTGTCTGGGGGCTGTCTAGGGACCCCTGGTTTTTCCTGCAGACTCTGAAATCAGGCTGTTAACACGGCCCTTTAACGGGTACATGGACCCGCTGGGATGGAGTCAGTGACCCGTGACTGGCTGATATGAGCGTATGAGAGAGTGTGAGATGTCAATAGTCAGTCTTTCTGCTTGTTCTGCGGTGTGGAGCAGCTCAGGTGGAACTAATGCAAAACCTCACGAAGGCTGCGACCAGAGCTCTGCTTTACTGCAACATTAATTAAAGTCATTCGCTACACACTGAACACACAACCACGGATAAGCGGAAGTGCCAGGGGAGTGTGTGTCTATATATTAATGTCCCTATATATTTATGTTCCTGTGTGTAATGTGATGTATAGGAGGATGAAAGTTGCCAGATTGTTAAACAGATTTACAAATACCCAAGAAAAAAAGTCCTCTTAAATCTTCAGAATTTTACATTAGCAACTTTAAAAAAGTGAAATGAAAACGGACAATAACAGCACAGCAGAAAATGTTTTGGCACGTGCACAGCTTTACACTGAAACTAATATAGGTTGTTCTGTTAAATCCAATGATCATTCAAAAAATGATCAAATTATAAATGTCTAATAATCATCATCCAGTGGCAAAGCCACATCTGATCCTGTCTGAGTGTGGGTGTTATATGTCAGACTCAAAAGGCTTACATAAAAAGAGCTCTGTTTTATTGAATAAAAGCCATGAAAGAACAGCCATTGGGCGTTTGCATTTCACACCATTTCGGCGGCTCACTTCCCCTCTGAAGATTCTCCCACTCTTTCCGAATCCTTTCATGTTGGCTTTCACCACAGAGACACAAGGAAGCCCTCATTTTGAAGACTGCTTAAAAATACTGTACGTCTCCCAAAGATCAGACAATGTCAAGATTAACCTGCCCTGCACAGAAGTCCCAGAAATGGTCGAAATGAGCAATCAAAATGGCAGGAACTCGAGACTTAACGTGACATGACAATGCAAGCGGTTAGCAGTCAGTCATTCATATGTTTTCGTGTTTAATCTGACAGGAGGTGGAAGCAGCCAGTCCAAATCTACAGCATGAGAGGAGCGGAGACAGATGGGACCCAGCCAGGATACAAACTCACACGGATGCATTCAACTCCAACTCCAAGCATATGTCATTAGGACAGTTTCCGCATAAATTACCTGCATTTTCAAGCGACCTGCAGGTAGAGGATTAACAGCCCTTTAGATGCGATTTTAGCATCGTAAAAAGGCCTTAAATATGATAATATGCTAAAAGTTAATAACTATTCTTGAGAATAAAATGCATAACTCAGTGGTGTGTCTCTAAAGAAGCACAGCAGCAGCTCGAAGAAATAACTTGTGAGTGAACTGTAAATTCATTTGTCTCCACTTCAAGCAATGGTACAAAGCACTCGCTGCGAGGGAGTGAGTGTGTGCGTTTCGGTATATCGGCACTTGTAATTATTTCAGGGAAAGAGTATGAAGAATTTATAATGAGTATTTTTGTTTTTTAAAAAGAAATACCGGTAATAACTACTATGCAAAGCTATTGGAATGAATATTTATGACCTTTGCTATGAAATATTCATAAAGTCAGTGTAAAAAAAGAACACAAAGGGAGAAAATGGGGAAAACGATGCGTGAGTGAGAAAAGTCATGGGAAGGGAGCCACTGCCTGGAATTCACAGGAAGAGCGACCGGCAAAACCTTTGGATCGTATATATCTGACATTTATTAACAAAAGCGCCGGCAACATCCTCCTGGTTTTTTTAACCAACCACCCCTTCATCCCCGAGGTGATGCGAGTTTCTTTCGTTCATCCGATCCTCCCCTCTCTGTCGTTCTGGTTCTCTCACTCATCCCCAACTTGTCTCTCTCTCTCTCTCTCTCTCTCTTTCCTCTCCGTTCCATCTACCCAAATTAAGAAATTAATGAGGGATAGATTCTTTACCGACTGCCCCTGCAATGTTTACCACTGATGAAATTATAATGCTGCCTCAGCTGTATAATTTATAAGCCAATTAGAGGAAGTGTTACTTGATTTGATGGGGAGCCGACACACAAAGTACATTTAACTAATAGAGAGCAAGAGAGTAGCGCGAGGAAAGAGATCCGGAGAGAGGGAGGGAGGACAGCTGAGGCTGACGAGTCCTTGCGCCACTCTAGGATTACGTGGCTAATTGCCCTGCTTTATCTGTCTGTCATGGATAGCCATGCATATTTCAGTGTTCCCAAAGACTTTGATTGTTTGCACTCGTGTTGGGCCTGTAACAAGCAGAGCAGTGGCCAACGTGGAGAGTAGTTAAAGACTGGCACCAGGAAGAGGTGGAAGAGGGAGGAGGGAAGCGAAGGGAAGGGTTCCGACTACA